GCCGAAGCGGCTCACCGACGAGAAGCTCGCCTACTTCGTGGCATGCCCCGTCGAGCAGCTCGACGCCTGCAAGGAGCTCATCGCGGAGGCGGACTGGCAGGCCATCCGCCAGCAACGCTTCCTCCTCCAGCAGCAGCTGGGCTCGCTGTCGGCGGTCAAGCCCGTCAGGAGTGCGCAGGTTGCGGCTGACGAAGCTTCCAAGCGCCTTCTGCGGGCCCGCAGCGAGCTGGAGCGCAAGAAGCAGGCGGCCCAGGCTGCGCTGCAGGCGGCCTTCGACCAGGAGAAGCTGGTCGCCAAGCTGCAGGTGGAGTTGGATGAGCTCGTCGAGAAGGCCAGGCGGGTCATGGCCGAGCCACCTGCTGCTGCTCTGCCGCGCGCAGAGGACCGCTACGTCGCCGACGTCACCAAGTACAGGGACTTGGTGGGCACCGTCTCGGGCGCCCTCGGCGGGGTCGAGCTTGGCGAGCTGGCTGGCCCGCTCAAGTCGCTCCTCGCTGCGCTCCAGCAGGATGTGGCCGCTTGCGAGGGGTCGGGCGCCCCGCCTGCCGCTGCGGTGCCTTCCCCTGCCGTCGCTGCGGCGGATGCTCAGCCTGGGGCAGCAGCTCAAGAAGCAGTTCTGGGAGGCGAGCACAAGGCTGCTGGCGATGACGACGAAGACATGGAGAGCCTCAACCTGTCCCCTGAGGCCTTCGCGGCGCAGGTCGAGGCCTTCTGCGACGGCGACGCCGACAAGAGGAAGTGGCTCGAGGCATTCCGCGACCGATGCTGTGCCGACAAGAAGCAGAAGCTGGGGCAGCGGCAGATGGCGGCCGGCGACGCTCAACATGAACGCCTTCAGCAACTTGGATAGGTGCCTCACGGAGCAGGTCGGCGGGTGCAACGTGCTGCTCTTTCAGGAGACCCGCCTCAGCGGGGCGCGCACGACGGATGCTGAAGGGGAGCTTCGTCGTCGGGGATGGCGCGCCGCGGGTGCTGAGGCCCAGGCGTCTCAGGCCGGGGGCCTGGCGTCTGGAGGTCTGTTGACGTGCTCACGCCTTGAGCACGGGTTGGCGCCCATGATTGGCTACGAGTCCCCCGTCGTTCGTCCTGGGCGAGCACAGCTGCTCCACCACGCTGGGCTGACTCCTGGGGGAGTCGTTGTGGAGAACGTGTACTTGGAGAGCGGCGTTGGGATGAACGCATACAACTACGAGGCGCTGCGCGACGTGGCGTGCAGGCTGAAGCAGCACGGCAGGCCGCACGTGATCGGCGGCGACTTCAACTGCACCAAGGCCGAGCTGGAGAAGAGCGGAGTCCTGCGCTTCTTCGACGGCGTCTGCGTGGACACGCTCGAGCCGACCTGCGCGCAGTCGATGCGCTCCATCGACATGTTCATTGTGTCGAGCGGACTGCGGCTGCTCAACGTGGAGGTGATCAGCGGATCGCCTGCATGGCCGCATCGGCCTGTGATGCTGGAGATAGAGGCGACGCGCCAGTCCCTACATCCGCGTGATGGATGTGCCCAAGCGCTTCCCGCAGGAGAGGCCTGCTGGCTGCGCGAGTTGGGACTACCACGTACCGTGGGCCAGCGTCGGCGAAGAGGTACGGCGGCTATTGCGTTCTGTGCCTCGGCAAGGTGTGTCGACGGCTTCTCTGGGTGGGCTTGCGGATGCTGCCCTCAATGACGCTGCTCCCCCGAGCGGCGCGCCTCGAGGAGCTACGGGACCCACACCCGCTGCCGGTGGTGCGAGCGCGCATGGACCTGTACGCGGTGGTGTTTCTGGACTTCGTGGGCTCCTGCAAAAGCGACCTGCAGGCGGAGAACGTGCCACTCTAGCTGGGGGGTGTGAGCGAGGTTCAGGGGCTACTGCTGCCGATGGACATGTGTCGCAGGCGGCCTGCGCTGACGTGGAGCTGACGCAGATCCGCGGCCAGATCAACGTTGCCTGGCAGCGGTTCCTGGAGCAGGCCGAGACCGACTGGATCGACATATACCAGGTGGGGGAGGACGGCCAGAAGCATCGTGGGCGAGGTCAACCAGTGCAGCCGCGCTGGGTCCGCAAGCTGCCTGTCGATGGCGCGCGGTGGCCCAACGTCTCGGCCGAGGCTACCTGGCTCTACAGGGCTTCGTGCGAGCTGCAGCTTGTCGCCGCCGTCGTGCAGCCCGCGTCAGCCGTGCCCGCGCGCTTCGAGGTCTGCGCAGGCTGATGGTGACCGCGCCCAAGGCCGTGAGGGGCGTCGCTGAGGCTGAGCCTCACGACCTGCCTGTCGCGAGCTCTTGGTGGCAGCTCCTCAGCAGCCTGGGCGTTCACTGCCTGGACCCGTCCACCACGGCCCTGCAGCTGAGCGTGCGCGCCCACACCGCCGCCGTGAAGCTGGCCGAGCGTGACATGGCGGAGCGCAAGGCCAGGTTCCAGCAGTGGGTCGCCAAGCAAGCTGAGGGCGGCGGCGGCGGGCTCCACGCGGCGGCTAGCTTGCCGATCGGGTTCGCGGAGAGCCCCATGCTGCACACCAGCACCGC